GTTCCCCACGTCGTAATTCCGCTCTGCCGTTGTCAGTTTCCGCGACAGGTAAGCACATGGATGCATCTTGTTGTCTTCTGCAGAACGTTGAGACAGTACTCCTCCAATTCCCTCATTGGAAGCATCAACCTCGACCATAAACTGGCGCTGGGGATCTGGAATGGTGAGTATGGGGGCTGATGTGAATCTCTCTCTGAGACGTTGGAAAGCGAAGTCCGCCTGGGGAGTCCACTTGAAAGGAACCTTAGGAGAAGTCAGAACATGTAGAGGGGCAGCAACAGAACTGAAATTCCTAATAAACTTCCTATAGAAGTTAGCAAACCCTAGAAACTGTTGGACCTTCTTCCTGGAGTCTGGTGTAGGCCACTGGGATACTGCACTGATTTTAGCCGGATCCATTTGCATATGATTAGGTGAGATTATGTATCCTAAGAAGGATACCTCTTTTGTGTGGAACTCACACTTCTCTGCCTTGACATATAACTGATTCTCTAGCAGTTTCTGCAAAACCTGACGGACATGGTTAACATGAGACTTAGTGTCTGGGGAGAAAATCAGAATATCATCCAGATACACAAACACTGAAATATTCAAAAATTCTCGTAAAACCTCATTCACAAGAGCTTGAAACACAGCCGGTGCATTGCATAGTCCAAAGGGCATTACTAGATACTCATAGTGACCACTCTGAGTGTTGAATCCTGTCTTCCACTCATCCCCTTTTCTTATTCTAACCAAGTGATATGCATTTCTTAAATCTAACTTGGTGAATATTTTGGCAGTTTGAAGTAGTTCAAAGGCAGATGTCATGAGTGGCAGAGGATAGCGGTTCTTCACCGTAATGTCATTTAGTGGACTGTAGTCTATGCAAGGTCTCAGAGACCCGTCTTTCTTTCCCACAAAGAAAAATCCCGCTCCGGCTGGAGAAGATGAAGGACGGATAATTCCTGATTTGAGTGAAGAGGAAATGTATTCGTCCATTGCTGCTCTCTCAGGTCTCGAAATCGAATAAAGTTTCCCCTTGGGAATGGGGGCTCCCGGTAAGAGATCAATGGGACAGTCAAAATCTCGGTGAGGAGGTAGCGACATGGCTTTGGATTTGTTAAAGGCTTCCTTTAAATCATGGTAACAGGAAGGTACCTTCTGTAGATCAGGATAGTCGGGGTGATCTATAATGATTTTACGAGAGTCTGTTGGTGCATTAATAGGTTGTGAAAGTTTACACCTGCCCATACAATCCTCTCCCCATTCCTTAATTTTCCCTGAACGCCAGTCAATGTGAGGATTGTGGATCTTTAGCCATGGAAACCCCAAAATAATCGGGTGCTGAGCCGACTCAAAAATATGGAATTGCATGCTCTCGGTATGGTCCTTATTCACAGTAATCTGAATGGGCTCAGTGCAATGGGTGACTGTGAACAACAAGCGGCCGTCTAAGGCACTGGCATTAATAGGATGAGATAGCCGAACAGTCTTTATTTCTAGCTGATTTACTACGCCCCAGTCCATAAGACTTTCGTCAGCCCCTGAGTCTATTAACACACCCTGGTCAATGGTTTGATTGTTAATACAAATGTTTACCTGCGTAACAGGTCGAGGAGGAAAGTCTGCGGGAAACTTGCTCACCAGCGCCCTCCTTTTGACTGGTGAGCACGATCTTTTCCCGGGCATGAAGCGAGTTGATGATCCGACTGGCCGCAGTAGAAACAACAACCCTCCCGTAGACGGCGCTGCCTCTCCTCCAGAGAAAGCCTGGTTCTTCCCAGCTGCATGGGTTCCCCGGAGTCATTCGGAAGTGTAATCCTCTGACGGTGTGGTAACATGGGCTGGACATCCTCGGCTGGCGGCGCGACCCACCAAGATGCATTCTGGGAGCTGGGAATAACGTCTCGGTTGCGTCGACGCTCCCTCTCTCTTTCCCGAAGACGGTTATCGATCCGGATGGCCACGGCGATGAGAGATTCCAGATCCCGGGGTGTCTCCAGTGGAGCCAGCTGGTCTTTTATCGGTTCCGAAAGTCCCGTCATGAAGGCGTCACGAAGAGCCGGAACATTCCATCCGCTGTCCGCTGCTGCTGTGCGAAACTCGATGGCGTAATCAACCACCTGGCGGTTGAGCTGGCGTATATGAAAAAGTTTTCTGCTGGCCTCTGTAGCAGGCGATGAGTGGTCAAAAATACGACTCATAGTCTCTATGAAATCGGTCAATGAGTAACATAGTTCAGTTTCTCTTGACCATTCTGCAGTAGCCCAGGCTGCAGCTCTTCCCGTTAAATGAGACACAATAAACGCCACTTTACCATGGTCCGATGAAAAGGCTCCTGGGTTGTGTTGAAAATGCAGATCGCACTGTACCAAAAGGCTCTGCAATTAGAAGAATCTCCGGAAAATCTCTCCGGAAGAGCCAGCCGTAAAGGGGAAGAAACAGCCTGACTTGGGAAATCAGCTGGAGCATTGACAGGCAACCTCTCAGTTGTGGATGACGTCACCGGAGGAGCAGTCTGTTGGTGAGTGAAAAAATGATTCATTTGGACAGCCAGTTGTTGCATCTGTGTGGATAATGCTTCCTGAATCCCGGCCTGGCGTCCTCTTAGTTCTTGCATTTCCTGGTTGACTAGGCCCAGCTGTTCCTCGTGATGAAAGATCTTCACGCCCTGTGCTGACAGCGCTGCGTGAAGCGTTCTTGGGTCGGCTGGGTCCATAATGGTCAGTTCGTTCTGTTACGAACTCAGACACTTAGGACGTAGGACCCAATTGCACGACCCGGGAGACAGAGGTAAAGTATTAGTAAGATACTTTATTTTCCAAAATACAGCAATGAACAACAAAAAAGGTAACTATCAAATCTCTAACCGAGATGACAAAAATAGAGGAACAAAATGAAAGCGCTCACGTAGTGAGGAATCAAACTTTACAAGAGTACAAAGAGCATAGACCTGACCATAGCAAGAGACAATACGAACTGACAAAGAACACTTGGGAGACAGGGGAATATAAGCACAGGGTAACTAGACACAGGTGGGACCAATCAGGGGCGGGGCTGACATTGATGAGCACAGGAGACACAGGTGAAAATAATCAGGAAGCCTGGAATGAGAGAAAGCAAACGTAAATAACATGCATCTCTCTAGCATTTCTGTCGGTGCACAACAGTAGTCCATCGGTTTCCTGCTGAGATGAAATAAAAAACATTGAAAGGAAATATTGCTATATAATTGGAAGATCTTTTCAGCTGTCATTTAAAAAAGTTGAATACATTTTCCTCTCCTGATAGAATGATCCACAAGATTAAAGACGCTTCCCCATTTATATTTTTTGAATATTTTAACCTGTTACGCACCATCCGCCCGGTACCGGGCGGATAAACGCGTCATTTGCAGGAAACAACGTCTAAGGGATCTTAATATTTAATAAACTATGAATGTTTTATATCCATGTAACGGGAAGAAACTCAGCTAACTGATCTTTTAAAAAAAAAAATCCAAAAAAAACCCACAATGCTAACACTCAGCCTCTGAATTAGCCACGACCGAAAAATGTAACCTAAAACGGCACTTCAACTCACAATAACTCCCTTATTACTTATCCTAGATGCACAGCCAACCACTCGTTTTTGGTGTCCTGGAGACACAGAATCTGTGTAAAAAACCTCAACACTCAGTGATAAACATTTGCGACGCTATAAACGAAAGCGTACATCATAACATGTGGAGCTAGGTAGCTAGAAACGCTAACATGGCTTACCTTGGTCAAAACTGGTCTTCAATGGTATTAAAATGATAAAAAAACGATGCTGCAGTTAATCCATAGGTTCATCCAATGTATCTGTGCCCTCTTTGAAAATATTTCTTATAATCCATAAGCAATAAAACTGCTTTTTAGTTTCCAAATGCCAGAGCTAGAATGTAGCTCCACTCTGCTCCACATTTACATGCGCGCAGCCCCCACCTTTTCTCTTCACAATGTGTGTGTGTGAGCCTCCCCCTTCGATTCTATTGGCTCTAACGGTCAGAAAGAGGTGTCAACCATCAAAATCGAGCAAGGGGGGCCAGAGATATGGAAAAAAAAACATTTTCACCCAAATCACCTCAGAGGTGGAGTGGTTTTGGCTAAACCTCTCTAAAAGGTAAAATGTCACTTGTTTTGCATCAATCTTGATACAGGGTACTTATTATATGTTGTACTTTGAATTCCTAAAGCTTTTAGTCTACTAACCCATCATCCAAGGGTAGTTTTCACTATCTGTAAAAAATAATTTTTGGACGGACACTATAATTTACAGTTTTTTACTATGTAAAATCTGAATTTTCTTTAAAATAAAAAATATTTATATTGATTCTGACACTTCTACATCCAACTCACAGATGTAACCTTGCTTTGATAAAAGAAATTATTCATATAACCCTTTTAGAAGTTAAGTTGTAGTCATTTGTTTTGGGCATGTCATTTTTGAGCCTGAAACATGAAAAACAGGCTTGGTGCTTAACAGGTTAAAGGCCTGCACTTTGTCATATAAAACGACAGATTATTGGTGGCTAAATATATTTCAACACACACACTCTTCTGCCTCAGGCTTCCTCTCTGTGCAGCCTGTGGGGATTTCTGGTTTGCATGGAGAGAGAGAAATGAACTCTGGGAAACGAGAGCGTAAACAGCGTTCATTCCCCTCGGATTTACCTGTGCATCATCACTGTTGCTAGGTAACGATCAGCACACCTGTTCCACCTGTTCCACCTGCCTCAGTGATGCTGCTTTCAGAGGAGAGATGTAGGGATATAAACGAGCCATAAGCAGAGATTTCTATTTTGGTTTTTCAAACTATCTGCGCTGAGCTTTGTGAAATATTGATGAACTTTTCTCTACCTTTGGACCTACGAACAGAGAGGGTGCCGTTCTCTTGGAGCAACATGTCTGTGCTAACCAGAGATGATGAATAAAAGCTGCTAAATTGGAAATACTTGGATATGATTTCTGGAGGATTAAAACTGGTGTAGTGAGGCGATGGCGCTCGGCCACGGCTCCAAGAAATCTGTTTCCTGTGAGCGGGGGGGAACACCTGCAACTCTGCACAATGGGGTCAGTAACACGAACAATAACACTCAAATATATATAATATAAAGTATCTTCACCGGCTGATATTTATCGGTCAGGGTCTGCAGATTAATGTGTGTAAAACCTGTGGAGCTGTTAGAGTAGAGAAAATGATTGAAAGGGTTTGATATATGTTTGTATAATATGCTGTTTGTATGCAAAATGGAGACTTTTGTTTTGGTTTTGAATCAGAATCAGAACATTTATTAACACCAGAGGAAATTGGGTTTCATGACATTTGTTCTACTAAAGATCAAATCAAATAATGACCCTAACCCTTACATTTCCAAAAAAGCTATAATATACAGATATCTTATTTCTATCTGTTCTCCACAGGTAGAAGCTGGTGGTCAAACCTTGGCTCCGCCCACCAGGAAGTCCCGCTCCTGTAAGTGTGTCCTGGCCTTCATCATCATCATCATCATCATCGCAGCAGGAGCCACGCTGGCCTGGTACTTCCTGGGTGAGAAGTTTTCTCTTTTTATGTATTTATTTATTTAATTATAAAAGCTTTATGGACGGCAATGTTGGTCTTTAGATTGGTCTTTTAGTCCTTCTCTAGCAGATGGACATGGTGGCTTTTTATGAAATGTCTTGACAACTCTTTGATGGATTAACCCAAGTTTTTGTCAATGAAGTCCAGTGGATTTGAGGTATTTATTGACGTATCTTTTGTCGTAGAATAAAACGTTAAAATCTCTTCAGCTTGTGTTAACTACTGACCTCATTTCAGGCTAACAACCAGAAACATTTCAAAACGAGGGAACAAGAACTGCTAAACTAGACTCAAACCCTGCACATTTTCACAATGCAATGCGATGATTACATGTTGTGTTCAATACTATGGTTTGGGACTAAATATCTTACATTTTTCTTGTGTATTTATATGTTGTTGGTCCTTCAGACTACAGGGTGTGGGTATGTGAGCCTCGTGTTCAGCAGCAGTACTCGGCGCACCTGACCGTCCTCAACAGGAACTTTTCTGCTGATCTGTCCTCTCACAGCAGCGCTGCCTTTAAACGAGAGGCTAAAGGAGTGCAGAACATGGTGAGCAGCAGAGATGGCACACATCCTTTACTCAAGTAGAAGTACAGATACTCGTGTTTAAAAATACTCTGGTAAAAGTAGAAGTACTGACTAAACTTCTTTACTCAAAGTAAAAGTAAAGAAGAATGGGCTTTGAAATGTACTTAAGTAAAAAGTACCCATAACTAGCAGCTGTTTTAAAGAGTACCTGACCTCCCTTTATATTAATAGAACAATAATGTCATTGTTAGCTAATGAATGTTTCCATGCTGAACAACGGCAACATGACAACGTTTTCATTGGTCCCTCTTCTTTAGAGAAGACCAGGAAATGATGGATACACGGATCGTGTTCAAATCAATAGGCACGCAATGACTCTAAATAATAATGATCACGCCACCAAACACACATTCAAACTAAAGTAACCAGCCTGTTTGGAAAATGTAAGAAGTAGAAAGTACAGGTATTTGTGTTCAAAATGTATGAAGTAAAAGTAAAAAGTCGTCAGAAAACAAAGTAGTGGAGTAAAGTACTGATACCAGAAAAATACTTAAGTGCAGTAACGAAGTATTTATACACCACTACTTCCCACTTCTGCTGAGCAGGGACGCTGAACGCCTCTGAAACCCAAATTGGGTTATTTCACTTTCATTTGATTTGTAATGGTTAATTGTTAACTCTATTCCACTTTTTAAGTATTTGTATTTTAAGGTTGAGCCAATTGCCCAATTTGGGATTAATAAAGTATCTATCTATCTATCTATCTATCTATCTATCTATCTATCTATCTATCTATCTATCTATCTATCTATCTATCTATCTATCTATCAATCTATCTAACTATCTCTCTATCTATCTATCTATCTTATGCTAAGGGACCATGACTGATTTTTTTCCATGTGATTTCCAATGCAATTAAGCTATCCTATAAAAACTCAATGACACGTGCGCGGTGATATTATGTTTCTTTGTCATCATTAGGTGAAGAAGATAATGAAGTGCTCAAGTCTTTCTCGATACTTCAATGACACCACTGTGTTCGCCTTTGGGTATGTGTATCAAACTTCTTCATATACAAAACACAGAGAGGGAAAGTAAAATAAGTAAGTTTACTCAAGTAATGCACTTCAGTACAATTTTGAAGATCTTTATGTTTCATTAGATTCTAAGGTCACATTCACACCAGAAATCTGAAAAAAGTCCACATTTGAGAAAAAAGTCAGAATTCTTTGATAATAATATGAACTCGAAACAATTACAGAATTCGGAAAATAGTCTACGGTCGCATTCACACCAGCCTGGTTTAGTCCGGTTGAATCAAACCCTGGTCCGTTTAGCCGTTTGTTGCGGTTCGTTTGGGTCGGTGCAGTCCGATACCTCTTAAGTGAACTAAACAACCGGACTCTGGTCCGCCTAAAAGAGGTGGTCTCGTAGCGCTTGCTAGTGAAAAGTAAGAGCCACCTGTCGTCGGTGAAACCTCCTCCTGACAGTCATTAAAAAGCAAAGATAATACAAATAAAGTAAAATGAATAAAAGTTACAGTGCAGTATGAGATATAAATAGTTGAAAAAGCCTGGATTTAAAAGTAGTAAGAGTTGCAGCACACCTGTAGGTTTCAGGTTAACAGCTGTGAAAATATGCTTTATTTCTGCAGGGAAGGGAGTGTTGTTGTTCACTTCTGGATAGTGATTTCCGTGCCGGGCAGCCATGTTGGGAAGGTCACTCTGGAGACAGTGGCCAGGAGCCTGGAGGAGGGGCTGGTGGGGAGAAAAGGGCCGGGGGAGGGGGAGACAGCCAGCGTCAGTGGATACATCATCCACCTCCCCTCACTGTCCGTCACAGGTGAGGGCAAGAGAGAGTATGTGTGTGTGTGTGTGTGTGTGTGTGTGTGTGTGTGTGTGTGTGTGTGTGTGTGTGTGTGTGTGTGTGTGTGTGTGTGTGTGTGTGTGTGTGTGTGTGTGTGTGTGTGTGTGTGTGTGTGTGTGTGTGTGTGTGTGTGTGTGTGTGTGTGTGTGTGTGTGTTATTGTCAGCCATGTTTACCCAATGTTTGCAGAAATCTTATTGATAGTCAAAATATTCATTTTAGGGTTTCCTGTCTGTCAGGGGTGAGTGCAAGAGATTGTGTGTCAGCCATGTTTGCAGAAGTCACATTTGTATTTCTTTATTTTATTTATTCATTTATTTAACAGGGACAATGCACATTAATCAACATTTTTGAGTTAGCCAAGAGGCTATTTTTCATCAGTAGTCCCTGGACAGATTTTGTAAGTCAACCTAAAGACAAGTTGATTATTGATAGTCACAACAGACATTTAAAGGTTAATATATGAATCTTAAACTGTGCAACTATGTTCAAACACTTCTAAACCATTCATCATCTTTACAAAAACATAACATCTCTGCTAAGAATAACTGCAAACTAATGACAGAAGGTAGCTAAACTACTGTATTACGAAACAAACTCATCCATCTCCCATCGCTGTCCGTCAGTGGTTGATTGCAAGAGAGCGTGTGTTTAATGTTAGCCATGTTTACCCAATGTTTACAGAACTGTAGTGATAGTCACTACATTCATTTTATGGTTTTCTGCTTACACTATAGAGACAAAAGTATTGTGACACTCCTCTTAATCATTGAATTCAGGTGTTTCATTCAGTCCCATTGCCACAGTTGTATAAAATCAAGCACATATCCATGAAGTCTGCCTTTACAAACATTTGTGAAAGAATGGGTTGTTCTAAAGAGCTCACTGAATTTTAACATGGTACTGTAATAGGATGCCACCGTTGCAACAAGTCAGTTTGTGACATTTCTGTAGGTGTAATGTGTAGGTGGTCCAATACTTTTGTCTATATAGTGTATATGAATCTTAAACTGTGCAACTATGTTTAAACATTTCTAAACCATTCATCAATTAATTATTATCTTTACTAAAATATAAATTGCACCTAAAAATAACTGCAAACTAATGACAGAAGGTAGCTTTCAAGTGTAGCACTAAATTAACTCAACAGCGCCCCCGTTGAAAGGTCCTCAAAATTGAAAATAATTCATGTTTGTTTACATTTTTTAAAGAATGTTAGGAGAAAACTACACTCAGGTAGCCACTTGGGGCTGAAATGCAGTAATAATATGTCTCTAAGTATATCAGAAAGGGTGGTCCTCATTCCCCACCCGAAATTGCCTGGCCCTCACATTGGGGCATTTACAGGAATGTGTGTTTGTGATGATTGTTTTATTTGTATTTGTTTTGTGTTCTGCTCCCCACAGAAACCGACTCCATAGTTATAGAGCTTTTGAAAGCCTCATTTGGTATCACTCTTTATTTTTAATTTGCTTCTTCTTACTTATTTATCTTTCTATCAATTTTTTCACTTTGATTGAACTGTGATTCGCATGCAGCACAATGTGCACCACCCTCTAAAATCTTTGTTTACCCAATATTTCTCGTAATAAAGCCCCATGTTCAATGCAAATTATAATTATATTGCGATAAGTTACTAATGCCATGATAATGATAGGACAATCACTTATTCGCTGTTTTTTAATGCTTCAAGCTATAGTGGAAAAAGGGATTATATATATTTGTTTTCTTGTGTTTTATTCATGGCTCTAAACATATTTTTGGCATTTATTTAAAGCATACTTTATAAACCCGCAATTGGGTTTTAGAGTTTAGAGGGTTTTAACCTGTTAACCTGATAAGCCCGAGAGACCCCGGTACCGGGGCACTGCCGCAACATCTTGCAGGAAACAGTGTCTGAGGGCATGTTCATTTAATAAAACTATGAATGTTTTATATCCATGTAACGGGAAGTAACTCATCTAACTGATCATTTTTTTTTTTTTCAAATGAAAACCCACAATGCTAACACTGAGCCTCTGAATTAGCTAACACCTTACTGCACCGAAAATCACTCACAAAACCTTATTATTTATCTTTTCACCACATCCAACACATCGTTTCACATCGTGAGGTGACACAGAATCGATTGACACCGACATGACCACTGAATTATACGTATTTGCGACGTTATAAGCAAAAACGGACATCCAAACAGGTGACGCTAGGTAGCTAAAAATGCTAACATTTTTACCTTGGCTCTGTAGTCTCTCCAAAGTGGTCTTCAATGGCATTAAAACGATAAAAACACTGCTGAAGTTAATCCATAGGTTAATCTAATGTGTCTGTGTCCCTTTGAAATGATTTCTGATAATCCATAAGCATTAAAACTGCTTTTCCGTTTCCAGATGTCAAAGCTAGAGATAGGTTCACTCTGATGGTAAATCACATGCGCGAAGCCCCCACCTTTTCTCTTCACAACGTGTGTGTGTGGGGGACTCCCCCTTCGATTCTATTGGCTCTAACGGTCAGAAAGAGAAGCCAGAGATATGGAAAATCCACCCAAATGACCCCAGAAGTGGTTTCTTTTTGCTAAATCTCTCTAAAAAGGTCAAATGTCACTTGTTTTGCATCAATCTTGATACAGGGTACTTATTATATGTTGTACTTTGGATTCCTAAAGCTTTTAGTCTACTAACCCATCATCCAAGGGTGGTTTTCACTATAAGTAAAAAAGAATTTTTGGACGGACACTATAATTTACAGTTTTTTACTATGTAAAATCTGAATTTTCTTTAAAATAAAAAACATCTATATTGATTGATTCAGTTCTACATCCAACTCACAGGTTTATCATTACTTTGAGAAAAAAGATTATTAATTTAACCCTTTTAGAAGGGAAGATATGGTCATTTGTTCTGGGAATGTCATTTTCGAGCCTGAGACCTGAAAAACAGGCTCAGGGCTTAACAGGTTAAGCAATCTTAAAGGGCACAATTACATTTACAATTTAAAAATGAAGGAGCTATGCAAATACAAATAGATTATAGCTAAACAAGTTTAGAGATTTGGTATTTGTTCATGCTTCAGTGCTTTTGTGGAAAAAGGGATTATATACATTTGTTTTCTTGTGTTTTATTCATGGCTCTAAACATAAAATCAAGGCAAAATATACATACATTTACTTCAACACAAGTCCCACATAATACCAAATGAACCTCTAACTCTGGATTTTCTTTTGCTGTCCTTTCCACCAGACTGTTACCGTTACCAGCTGGTGGTCTCCAGCGGCCCCCTGGCTCTCCGCGGCCCCGACACGCAGCGCTCTTCCTGCCTGTGGCACCTCCAGACGGCCCCCGGCTTGCAGCTGGAGCTCCACATGGAGTGGCTGCTGCCCGAGTGCCGCGACCGACTGGTGGTGTACGACTCCATCACCCCCGCCGACACACACCTCATCACATCGTGAGTTTCATAAGCTGTTGGGAAAATACTGAGTGTACTCTTTTCTATATCAGAGTAGCACATGGTAACAAAGGCCCAACTGTAGCGTAACCGGATGTATGATTACATAGAAGAAGCTCATGAGACACTGTGTTGAACATACGATAGCTATGTTCAACGATTAAACATGATGACACAGCCTCTAGGGAGATAGGTATATGACTGTCATGTTTATTGCTTACACAGGCCTTAGCTAATCTGAACCAAACATTGAATACTGCTTTATATCCCTCCATCTTGTGACTGTGTAACTCCCTCTCTTGTATATCAGCATGTGAAGGACACTGTTCAGGAACTAGTTGATGCTCTGTATGTGATGACTACTTCCATTCTTGAGAGGATAATAAATACATGGATCCTGAGATTGAATATTATAGGTGTCAGATATATAAAAAAATATAAAAAACATTTCTATGAATTGTTTTGCTCAAAATACAAAACAGATCACCCATTCTAGCCTCACCCCCCTCTATTTCAGCCTGTTACTAAAGTGCTGATTCCGGGTCTGTAGCTTTAAACAAAAAGAAAAAGAGGGGGGAAGCTTATGCTGAGTATCTGATCAGGAGAATTCTACCAGCAGATACTCAGCTAAATGCTGCCGTGATTAAACACCATCATGTTCCAAACCACATCAAGGATTATTTCTGAAACAGTATGGAGCTCAAACTCTTTTTCTCTTGAGGGTTTCCCACAAGGTGAGTTTCTTTTTATTTCCTGCTTCTTTACACACACTCTCTCCAGTACAGGTTAGCTCTGAGTGTTAGCGATGCTAATGTAAACACAGACCATATTACTTCCAAAACACGTTGCGCATTGTTTCTGATGGCAACGTTTCTGATAGGCCCGTGGGTGTAAAGCCCGCCCACATTTCCGATATTACGTCATATCGGCAGCAAATCTGTATCAGCTCCGTTGTTCCCCCGTTTTTAGAGATTTGGGTACGGAGGAAAAGACAGAGGGTTTTGTTTTCTGACACTTTGTGAGTCTCCTGACACCGGGGACACATATTTATATAAAAGACATACAAAAGTGCATTTTGCATGATAGGAGACCTTTAATTGAAGCCTACAATAATTGAAGTTAACCTTTATTTGACCTACTATACTATTCCTGTTTCCCTCTGTCCTCACAGTGTGTACGGCTGCAGCAGACGTGAGAGGCTGGTGCACGTCCTGTCTTCAGGAGAGTGGATGACGGTGGTTTGGAAACAGGGTCTATATAACTACAAAGACCCCTTCAGTCTATCTGCACAGACCTGGACCCGCCGCAGTGAGTTTACCTGAAGACCTTCTTCTACCAGTTCAGAAACATTTCAAATAACATTACATACCAGGGACAGAGAAGGAGCTTTAGGCTAACGTTTTGTGGCAGAATGTATATTTTATTGTTTATCATACACTTTTTCTCTCTGTTTCTCAGACTGTAGCTCCTCTATAGAGCTGAAGGCAGTTTCGGGGGTCCAGGGGTCTCTGAGGACGCCTTTCTTCCCCAGCTACTACCCCCCCAACACAAACTGTACCTGGAGCTTTACCGTAAGAGTCCCTCATCCATTTACAGCTCTGAAATGTTTCCATGTTTTCATGTTTCCATGTCAACTGCTTAGAGATGTCCCGCCACTTAGCCTATCACTTACAATGTGTTGGACTGCTAGCCAATAGGAGCGTGAGTGTTCTAAAGGGATGTCACTATGTTCCCAGAAGTAAAAAAAGGAGTCCAATGGAGGTGTTTATGGGAGAGAAACTCCCTCTGGAGGGAACACAGGGATTTCAGGCTTTGCAGACCATTTACATGCACCTATAGAACACACTAGGGAACCCCACAGAAAGCAGAATAGGGCCTCTTTAAAGATTTTCTCCGGGAGTGTCATAAAGTCCGCCAACCGCACTGTGACAGGCTTTTGGGCAGGATGCCAACATATATTAATATTGTGATTGTAATGCATGGTTATTCCACAAAATACACATTTCTAAAAAGTGAAACATGTTTTATTGTTGTGTTTAACATAAAATATTTTTAAACACAAATATTTTAGGTCTTGTCATGTCAAACGTCAATATTTGTATATCATGTATGGGGAAAATGTTTGAAATAGCTTATACGACTTGGAAAACCAATTAATCCTCCAAAGAAATATTTACAGCGGTATCTTAATTTATCCAGATTTTCTAATATCAAAATGTTTCATTCATTGTTGGTAACCATTAACAACCCCTCATATTATTGATGAATTCATGTTTGTGTATGCTTTACCTTCATTGTTAAACTGTAAAGTCCAATGAGACAAATGTAACATTTGTGATATTGGGCTATATAAATAAACATTGATTGACTGTATTGTATATCTGTGTATTGCCCTGTATGGTTTCAGATGCCGGCTGCAGGGATGGGTTTGTCTCTGGAGTTCGATGGTTACAAGCTGAGCAGAGCCGGGTATAATCAGGTCTGCACTCAGGGTCAGTGGATCGTCCAGAACCGCAGGTAGGATGTGCTAAATCAGGGGTGTCCAAACTACGGCCTGGGGACCAAATACAGCCCTTGGACCATTTTGAATCGGCCCTCAGCAAATTCAAAAAGTATAATGAAGTATGGCCCACCAATAAAACTTGTGCTTTTCTTATATTGTTCTTCTTAAATATGTAAAAATATATTACACAGTAGCATTCATGTGTTAATGAACCCACTTTTAAAATACATTCAGTCAATTAATGTTGAAAACATTTTCTAACAAATCTTAGTTGATAAAAAAAAGCCCAATAACTTATTTTCATAGCAAGCTTGAAATACACCCTTCATATTTCCTCTTCTGTGTTAACCTGTTTCACGCCTTCCCCCCGGTACCGGGCGGATAAACGCGTCATTTGCAGGAAACAACGTCTAAGGAATCTTAATATTGAATAAAACTATGAATGTGTTATATCCATGTAACGGGAAGAAACTCAGCTAACTGATCTTTTTAATTTTTTTTTCAAAAAAAACCCACAATGCTAGCACTCAGCCTCTGAATTAGCCTCGATCGAAAAAACGGGACGACAAAGGCACATAAACTCACTCAGAACTCCCTTATTACTTATCCTAGATGCACAACCAAACACTATCTTTTGGTGTCCTGGAGACACTGAATCTAACGGTGCCCACCTCAACACTCAGTGATAAACATTCGCGACGCTATCAACGAAAGCGTACATCATCACATGTGGAGCCAAGAAGCTAAACATGTAAATATGGCTCACCTTGGTCAAAAGTGGTCTTCAATGGCATTAAAACGATAAAAAAACGATGCTGCAGTTAATCCATAGGTTCATCCTATGTGTCTGTGCCTTCTTTGAAATTATTTCTGATAATCCATAAGCAATACAACTGCGTTTTAGTTTCCAAACTCCAGAAGGAGACATTCCTCCAGTTTAGTTTCGCTTTCCACGCGAAGCGGCAACATTTTTTCTTTATAATGTATGTGTATGTGAGTCTCCTCCTTCGATTCTATTGGCTCTAACGGTCACAAGGGTATGTCAACCAACCAGATCGAGCAAGGGGGGCCAGAGATAGGTCAAATCCACCCAAATGACCCCAGATGGCCCAGTTTTTGGCTAAATCTCTCTAAAAAGGTCAAATTTCACTTGTTTTGCATCAATCTTGATACAGGGTACTTATTATATGTTGTACTTTGGATTCCTAAAGCTTTTAGTCTACTAACCCATCATCCAAGGGTAGTTTTCACTATCTGTAAAAAATAATTTTTGGACGGACACTATAATTTACAGTTTTTTACTATGTAAAATCTGAATTTTCTTTAAAATAAAAAACATTTATATTGATTCTGACACTTCTACATCCAACTCACAGGTTTATCATTACTTTGAGAAAATATTATTAATTTAACCCTTTTAGAAGGGAAGATATGGTCATTTGTTCTGGGAATGTCATTTTCGAGCCTGAGACCTGAAAAACAGGCTCAGAGTGGAACAGGTTAAGGGATGAGTTGCTAACAAGACAAATGACACCCTATATAGATGGAGCGTCTTCTTTAGGACAGTTTGAAACGCGAGGGTCGTGGTTGGCTCGTGCACGGTCCGTGATCGGCCCGTGAAAGGTTCGTGATGAAGAGCCGGCTCCCAGTCTGACTTGATACCGCCCCCGTGATAAATAAATGTAATTATTGTGAAGCCAGCTGCAATGGATCATTGATCCACCAGGGGGTGCAGTGGGGTTCCACACTGGAGCTCATGTGAAATCAACTTCGATACAGTAAGCTGGATGTACAGTATGTCTGGTACTACTGTATAGCGGATCTTTGTTAAGATCCATATGTCACGGATAGGATCATAGTCTGTGCTAAATAAGACATGTAATCATTTACAAAACATCACCATGTTGTTATTTAACAAAATAATGTTGTTTAGTCGAAAAAAACGAACGAGAGGAAATGCAGCCGGCTCTCCCGATTTTTAATCCTAATTTAATCATCATCTTCACCACGATCATTTATGTTTATGTTCGCCGAATTGACATGAAATCACTGACAAATATGAATATTCTGTATTCAACTTCATTGAAACGATCAGGATCCCTGGGTGTTATTTTTCCCCACAATGACCAAGTCGCTGCAAATTATCCCGTTTATTACATGGCCACATTCTCAACAAAGTAACGACATGACTCCCAATCTTAATTGAAATGCTTTTATGGATTTAGAAAATGTTTTTATTGATTTAAAAAATAGTTGTATGTATTGATATAAATTGACATGCATTCGCTAAGAGAAATAGTCACGAGACACTTGACACAGTGGCTTTTGGCAAAGCAGAAAAAGAACACTCAAACCGAGAGATGAGTTATTATTACAACGTGACTTCACTATTATTTAACAACTGTTTTTATTGGGTTCTTTTATTTGGGGTTAAGTATAGGTGAATTGCACTAATGTGGGAAGATCGTGATGTCTCCTCCGATCTGCTTTATGATCTTCTTTCTCCCGCTGTGTAGATTGGGGGACCGCCGTCCTCTGTCTTCAATGTTCGACATCACGTGAAACAGAGGATTTCGACATTCTGTATTCATTGCTTACTTCCTTAAACCTTTTCTCCTCCTTATCTCTTTCATGACTTTTTATTTAATGCTTTATAACAGCTGTAATAGTTCGTTTAGAAATCCTAGAAACACTTTTACGGCAGCTCTCATTTAAGGTAATTCCTTCTGACGTCATAGCTACCCACGTATAATATATAAACAAAGTCTTGGCTTTCAGAATATGAAACTTTTATTTCCAAAATCACACGATAAATACATTTGTGAAGCTTGTAAAGGGAAGATGACAGGCACCTCACTCGCAATCTGCTCTTCCACAGCGCCGCCCCCCTCCCTCCGGCTGAAATTATGAATGTACAGTAAGGCATAGTAATCATAGATAACACGGCAGGGTCCGTTACAGTTTGTTTTCATCTGATTTCAAATAAACAAAGTCTTGGCTTTCAGAATATTAAACTTGTTTCGGCAAATTTAGATGATAAATACAACTATGAAGCTTGTAACGGCATAATTACAAGCGGAGAACGGAGTAATTTAACGTTACAGCAGGCATAACAACAGCCGGTGTTTATTTTATTATTATATATAGTCGTTATTCATTTGTTTTAAAGCTCAATAAGGAAGATTTAAACTTTCACACACGTTGACCGGCGAAAAACTTTGCCCGGTTCCCTCGGCCCCCACCCATGGATGTATAATAAGAACTAGATACAGCGTGGGAGGCGGGGCCTCATTCATTCCTATGAGAGTTGCTCATTCGCGCATGATGATAAAATGGCCCAACTTTTGAGAGAGCGAAACGTCACAGATTACCCGGCATGCCTGAGAAGTACCCATATGTGCGCTCATAGCGCATGCGCAACTTTAACCATGCCCCCCAAAATGCTCGTTCACATCAAGCACGTCAATTTGCGTACACTTAACAGCACCGCACGTTCATGACAGCATGGTAATGGTTGTTATTATGGTAGATTTGATATTAACGAGGCGGCAGTTAGCAGCTAGCGGTTAGCTAGTAATTATGCTAATTTACACATCAATCGTTATGTACTTTTATATTACGCTGTAACAGGATCTAGTGATATCCAAGCAACAGAGCTTAATTTAGCATGAAAGAATTATTGCACTGTATATATATATATGTATATATATGTATATATATATGTATATGTATATATATATGTATATATATATATGTATATATATATATATATATATACAGTGCAATAAGCTTCTATAAGAAGCTACAGGGACGTTAATCTACGTCGGTAATATTAACTTTATTTAATACAACATTTACGGTACAAGATTTAATCATACAGCCCATGTAGTATAATATTTTACAAATGATGAATTACAGCAAACATGTGCAATATATCCATTATTACAGCTCCGTGGGCTGGCAGTAAGGCGATATGGGTCCGTTCTTATTGTGCATCCATGGGTAAAGATAAACGCATGTAGTGCTGAACACGTAACATGAACGTGCCGGGCGGCGCGGTCCCGTGGGTTAGATGCGCGTTCATAATGCAGAGGGAAATAACTCACAGAATAACGTTATTAGCAAATTTTTACAACTTGAGGAACGAATCTTTTTAATAAGGGCTATAAAAGTGTTCATACTGGGTAGTTTATTTATTTAAAAAAAAATTATCCAACGATTTACAGACCACTCTTTCCCCATGTAAGTCAATGGGAAAAAGTGTTTCCGGCCCTGGCAACCAAAAGGAAGTGTAGTACCGCCGTTGGGCCACCACGAATATTTTCATCTGAGTCCGGCACACTTCCTGGGGGCTTGCCCCCACCACGTTGAATAAACAGAAGGCTGCTTTTGTGGAGGAAGTTACAGCGCCACGTACAGGCTCGGCATATGTACTGCAGCTTTTTCCAGCGGTATCCATAAATCTCTTAATTTTGACCTCAAAGTGCACCAGATTGATGCATTTAACTTCAATATAAAGAAAAACATCTTCTGTTGTAACAACAATAACATTATAAATAGTAACATAGCTGAACATGGTATTGCACATTTAGCTTTCAGTGTTACTGACCTGAGATGTTTTTATTACATGAATTAAGGTGACTGAGGCTTTTTAACATAGACTTTTCAGATGTCTGAGTGTAATATCTGCATTTTCTATTTTGGTTTGATAAGGACACATCCTGGGGATTGTGTTTACAAACATTGACCATACCGTTCACCATCCCCCACCCCCCTACTGTATGTTGATTTTTGACTTTGTTTGCCTACATGTAAATGGGTGGCATTTAGTACCTACCCCCCTCTGAGTGAATACCTGCTTAGCTACTTGGCACTAAGTACAGATATGTCTACCCTTTCTTCTTAGAGTTAGCCAAGAGGCTATTTTTCATCTGTAGTTAGTTAGATTTTAAAAGTCAATCTAAAACACATTTCATTTTAAACAAGTAAATACAATACATTTAAAACATGCAAC